GTTGGGCACCTTCCAGGCTGTGTCGCCAATTCCTGTGTTAATTAGTTTATTAAATATGTTTATTAATGGGTCACAGAGTTCCTAGCTGCACCGATTAATTCAAGACAATGTTGTGCTCGTCATCTGGGCCGCGGGGGAGTTGTTCCTGGGTTAATTTTTCGATTTGTTTATGTCGGTTTTACAGTTCTTTCCCAATTGACCTGTCTGCCCGCTCCGATGGCCACACCCAGTCATTCACACTCACCTCCCCAACTCACACACACACACACACACCTTCCCAACTCACACACACACACACACACCTCCCCAACTCACACACACACCTCCCCAACTCACACACACACACTCCCCAACTCACACACACACACACACACCTCCCCAACTCACACACACACCTCCCCAACTCACACACACACACACACACACACACCTCCCAACTCACACACACACCTCCCCAAACACTCTTCTCCTACATTTCTCTCATACTCTTTCAGCCTATCGTTCACTGCCGCACGCCTTGCCTTTCAGAATATGTGCATAGATAAACGGAGAAATTATTGACAGTGAAGGAAGACAAAGAAAGCGAGCGAGGAGGAGAAAGAGAAAAAGATCACGCTGAAAGAAAAAACTTAAGTTTTAGACTCCGTCACTGCAGTAACTTGTAAAGCCAAGCCTTACATTACCTTTAAACTCCACTTGGCTCATCATGCCTGATGAGTTGAGCTTAGAGAAGCAGAAGTGATCCTTCAGACTCGTCACTCTTGCGCACTGCAGAAGGGAAAAAAATATTGATTTAGAAACCACTCCGTATAGACAAAACTACATGGACATTTATGTATGAATAGTAGTAATACTGAGTCTAATTTTAGTACTGCTATATCTATCACTGTTACAAATAGTTGTCAGGAAGTCTATTAATATTTGTTTTTTATATTAAATTATTTTGTAAACAATCACAAGGTATTTTGATCCTTCATGTACCTAAATGCGTTAATAAAAAAATAAACCTGACCATTTTCCATGTCGCGTCTCACAACAGTCGACTATCTCATATGTACCTACGTTCTGCTAAGTAAACAGATGTATTGGGTGAAAGAATACGTACCCAAACGGTTTGACATACCCGGGAGTCCCACCCGGAAGCAATCAGTTATGAATAGACGCGGTGACTAATGTGTCACTATCAGATATCCTCTCTACTAGTCGATATCAATAATCTTCTCTGTCACTATCAGTTAGACTGTCACTATCAGTTAACAGAAACAAACTAAACACAGAGGCGTATGCAAGCGAGAAACAGGCACAGTTTACCAAAACATTCACAGATAAACAAAACAGAAATTACATATGATAACACTTTTGTCTACAAATTAATTGTCTTTAATCCATGCTGTCAAGTTCCATTACAAATCATTCAACAAAAACAGTACAAAGAACTTCACCAAGACAAAAATATAATCTGCCAAGACCCGTGTCCGGAAGTTGCTGGCAGGAGCATTAAAAAGCCTCTCTTATATTGCGCGGCATTTGTTAAAAACTTGGTGAAAATAGAAAACGGCTGCTAAGCGGCAACTAAATTAAAAATGTAATTAGATTATTCGCAAGACTCTTTGAGCTGGGAGCGAGCATGCGTCTCCCAGAAGTAGACGGGACTTTAATTATATATATATATATATATATATATATATATATATATATATATATATATATATATATATATATATATACATATATATTCTACGTAAGTATATACTACTATTTAGAGGGTGACGAAACACCAAATTACTTAATCTTTCCATTTTATTCGAGGTTTTGTCAGCCATGTGACATCTTCAGGACGACACACTAGGCACTAAAGACACAGGCTTGCTAAGCTTACATGATTGATGAAGATTAAGCCACCCATGAAGTGGCACGGGCATGAATAGCCCGTAAAAGCTTACATGCTTCTTGTTGTTGCTTCAGATTCAGCTGCTGGGAACAAAAAGTTGCAAGTAGCACGGGCTATGGTGAGCCCGTAGTGGACATAGACATTTACAAGTGTTAGTTCACCTCACACTACGATTCACCTGGACCTCCTTTATCGCTGAGAACACCCAAGAATGAGGTGAGGTCTTTTCAATTAGATGTCTCCCGGGTGTGCTATCTTCCCTCTGGACCACTGGTGGGGCCAGCACACTACTGTTTGTTCACTTGAATGTTAATTCGTAACGTTTAGGATAAGGATTTGGGCCGGACGGTAAAGCGACGGTCTCACTTCGTGCAGGTCCGGCGTTCAATCCCCGACGTTCCAAGTGGTTGGGCACCATTCTTCTCCCTCCGTCCCATCCCAAATTGAGGTGTCCTAGGAGTTTGGGGATGGTGTTGTGGTGATGAGAGTCATGTTGCTTAACACGAATGCTGCTCTACACTAAGTCAAGTATTCATCTGTACCACAATATAAAAACAAGAGGAATTGCCTGGAGATAGACGCGACGGGGGTTAAATAACGTGTCAGGGAACGGCGTTCAGCGGTGCTGTGACAGAGGGAGTGAAAAACAGAATAGTGGTTGATGGCACAATCCCCCTGGGGCCCGCCACGCTGGCTGTGTTCAAAATGCATAACACTGGCAATTTTAGGAACGTGTGAAAACAGGTGGTGGACCGGTGGCCGGGCTGGTGGACCGGTGGCCAGGCTGGCGGTGGACCGGTGGCCGGCCTGGCTTGGCGGACCAGTGACCGGCCTGGCGGACACTAGATCGCTGCTGCTCAAACCTTGGGTCGGTCCTGCCTACAAGGCTTCAAATAGCCGATGGTTAAAACTTCTATCCCATCTAGCCAAAGGGTCACTAACCCACCTTCCAGACCCCCCCCCCCTCCCCCTGTTTATGAATAATTAGCACCTCTGCTACCTCAACCTGTCCTCTTAAAAATTGCGTCTGAATTTGGCCGTTTACCCGTATGGCCGAAACTGGATTTAATTTGAAAATGAAAAAAAATTGAATCTAAATTTTGGATATTTTTTTTTCAAATCTACAAGTTAAGGGGTTAAGGGTCCTCTGGTAGGTTAGGAGGGCAGGAAATTCTCCTAAAATTTCAAAATGTCTTGAAAAACTTTCAGTTAAAGTTTCCTCTCCTAACCTTACCCAGTAAGCCAGAGGACTCCAACAGAAAACGGGACTGAACTTTCAGGCGATGAGTTACAATAACGTGGCTGAAGAATCGACTTGAGAATGGTCCAGGACGGACCGAAACGTCGTCGATCGTCCCTTCACCTTCTAGTGTGTGGTCTGGGACTGTACATCACTTGCGTGAGCCGATTTCATTTCAAATTACGTCAATTTTTGGCCATAGCACATACTAGGGAAAGCGACGTTATTTTTAAGAGGACGGATTGGCTACCTGCCATCAGGCGAGGCTCGAACCCAAAAACACATTCATAATTTTCTATTTACTGCGTATTCAACATGTTTTTATTTTGAATGCCAGCGTGTTAAATTTGTTGAATTTATCTTTGGGGGTCGGCCGCTGCATGGAATGGACCTAGCCTGAGAACGGGTTGTCACATTTATTAAAGACTCTTTGAGGTCTGGTCGCCACTTGGACGAGCCTTGCCTGAAGGCAGGTGGTGGGTTTGGCTGCCGCTTGGACGAGCCCAGCCTGAGGAGAGCTTACAACATTCGTCGAGCACCGAGGTGGAGCTCCTTCACTTCATGACGCCATACAAACACGGATGCCATTTGTCATGACTTGTTTGGTGTCATGTAATTTTTTTAATGAGAGTCGGCATTCTTCTGTATAATATACTATATTATTTCCTCAGTCATGTGGTTGGTGTCGGTAAGGGTCACAGTCCTATCCTCGACACATATAACATTATTGATACAAAAATTGTGGTTCATTCATAAGTACGTCAGACGCAAATAACCGCAGGACCCATCCATAAACCCGCCTATTAATCGTCAAATAAATCTTATATCTGTTCTCAAGTGTTTGTCCAACCACTTGAGCTGGACGGTAGAGCGACTGTCTCGCTTTATGCAGGTCGGTGTTCAATCCCCGCGACCGTCCATAAGTGGTTGGGCACCATTCCTTCCCCCCGTCCCATCCCAAATCCATATCCTGACCCCCTTCCCAGTGCTATATAGTCGTCATGGCTTGGCGCTCTCCCCTGAAAATTCCCTTCCCTTCACCAGTGTTTTAAGACGAACTTAATATCTGAAATTTATTCCTGTAATTTATTAGGATTAATCATGCCGGCGCAGCTGTACAGTAAAAGGGAAATATATCTTTTCGAATTTTATTGAGCGCGAAACTGTTATAAAATCTTTTTATAGGCGCTAGGCTTGGGAAGAGTTTGATGTTAGCGCGGGCCCTTAATTTTAAACTACGTGATTCGCTAGTTATTTCGCACAGTATTAATTCTCTCTCTCTTGAGTTTTCGTGTGTGTGTGTGTGTGTGTGTGTGTGTGTGTGTGTGTGTGTGTGTGTGTGTGTGTGTGTGTGTGTATTCACTTAGTTGTGTTTGCGGGGGTTGAGCTCTGGCTCTTTGGTCCCGCCTCTCAACCGTCAATCAACAGGTGTACAGGTTCCTGAGCCTACTGGGCTCTATCATATCTACACTTGAAACTGTGTATGGAGTCAGCCTCCACCACATCACTGCCTAATGCATTCCATTTGTCATTGTGTGTGTGAGTGTGTGTGTGTGTGTTTGTATGTGGAATTAGCATCTACTTCCTCTTCAATTACAATCTATTCCGTACTTACTAATCATTGACTAAGGAGAATATTTCCACCACACGCATCATCTCCCATCTATTCCCTGGCGTTCTATTGTTGTGCGCTGAAAACATTCAATTTAGCGTTCTATTGTTATTAAGTGAAAACAATATTTCTGAGCCTTTTATGGCACTATTATGCCCCTTCGCGTTTTTTATAGTATCGTTAGGTCAATTTTCCTGAAGATCTCCTCGTGGCCCTCGCTCTAATGACTCCAGACTCAGTGCTTCTCATTTTATGATTCATTTTTGACCTTCAGGAGTTAGGGGACTCCAGTCTGGGGACTCCAGTCTGGGACTCCAGTCTGGGACTCCAGTCTGGGGACTCCAGTCTGGGACTCCAGTCTGGGACTCCAGTCTGGGGACTCCAGTCTGGGACTCCAGTCTGGGACTCCAGTCTGGGACTCCAGTCTGGGGACTCCAGTCTGGGGACTCCAGTCTGGGACTCCAGTCTGGGACTCCAGTCTGGGGACTCCAGTCTGGGACTCCAGTCTGGGGACTCCAGTCGGGGACTCCAGGCGGGGACTCCAGGCGGGGACTCCAGGCGGGGACTCCAGTCTGGGACTCCAGTCTGGGACTCCAGTCTGGGGACTCCAGGCGGGGACTGCAACTGGGGACTCCAGTCTGGGGACTCCAGTCGGGGATTCCAGTCTGGGACTCCAGTCTGGGGACTGGATCAGTATTGTATTAGGTGGAAATATTACATTAATCCCTATTATACATTGTTAAACAAATAGTGTATGATACTGTGTGTTCCCTGATTACCTACGAGTTAGAACATCATAAGAATGTTCATTTTTGTAGTAACTCTATGTATCCCATTGTTGTATTGTGGGTGTGTGTTGACCACAGTGTATAGTCACTGTACCACAGTGTATAGTCACTGTATCCCAGTGTATAGTCACTGTACCACAGTGTATAGTCACTGTACCACAGTGTATAGTCACTGTACCACAGTGTATAGTCACTGTACATCAATGTATAGTCACTGTACCACAGTGTATAGTCACTGTACCCCAGTGTATAGTCACTGTACCCCAGTGTATAGTCACTGTACCCCAGTGTATAGTCATTGTACCCCAGTGTATAGTCACTGTACCCCAGTGTATAGTCACTGTACCACAGTGTATAGTCACTGTACCACAGTGTATAGTCACTGTACCCCAGTGTATAGTCACTGTACCACAATGTATAGTCACTGGGGGCCCCTACACCTTTATCCACCCACTACCTACACATATAGGTTGTACCTACACGTAACCCGTATAGTTACACCTCACATGTGGGTGTCATCCATGTAAGGAAGTTACTCTCATGTATACCACCACATACACTCAGTGCTTGTCCCAGACAGCTCTACTGTGCTCCCATTGTGCCTCTACTGTGCCTCCAATGTGCCCACACTGTGCCCCTCCACTCTGCCTCCAATGTGCCCACACACTGTGCCTACACTGTGCCCCCCCACTGTGCCTACACTGTGCCCCCCACTGTGCTAACTGCACTTGGCTATCGCATATCTGCCTGTGGGCCGAACTTGGTATCTTCCTTGATTTGTTCGTACTTTCTGGGTTGTTTTGAATGTCAGGTGTGTGTGTGTGTGTGTGTGTGTGTGTGTGTGTGTGTGTGTGTGTGTGTGTGTGTGTGTGTGTGTGTGTGTGTGCACGCCCCCCTCCCCTCCGTCCTTTCAGTGGCGCTGCTTTCCACCACACACAAGCGAAAAATACATACATACACACACACACAGGCACCAAAGGCAAAGGACCAAAGGCCAAAGGTTGAGAGGCGGGACCAAAGAGCCAGAGCTCAACCCCCGCAAACACAACTAGGTGAGTACAACTAGGTGAGTACACACACACATACACACACAAACCACCCTTTCATACAGCCAGACACCCACTCACGGACACACTCACATTCACATTCACAGACATAACCACACATGCCATGCGAGGCTGGCTAACATCAGAACTGCCTTCAGGAACCTGTGTAAGGAATCATTCAGAACCTTGTATACCACATATGTAAGACCAATCCTGGAGTATGCGGCCCCAGCATGGAGGCCGTACCTTGTCAAGCACAAGACGAAACTGGAAAAGGTTCAGAGGTATGCCACTAGGCTAGTCCCAGAACTATGAGGCATGAGTTACGAGGAAAGGCTGCGGGAAATGCACCTCACCATAGGAGAGCTCGGGGAGACATGATCACTACCTACAAAATTCTAAAAGGAATCGACAAGGTAGATAAAGAATAACTGTTTAACACGGGTAGAGCGCGAACAAGGGGACACAGGTAGAAACCGAGTACCCATATGAGCCACAGGGACGTTAGAAAGAACTTTTTCAGTGTCTGACTAGTTAAAAGATAAAATGCATTAGGCAGTTATGTGGTGGAGGCTGACTCCATACACAGTTTCAAATGTAGATATGATAAGAGCCCAGTAGGCTCAGGAACCTGTACACCAGTTGATTGATAGTTGAGAGGCGGGACCAAAGAGCCGAAGCTCAACCCCCGCAAGCACAACTAGATCGAGTACACACGTACATACTCACAGACACACATATATATACTTCGAAGAAAGCTTCATCTTTCAACATGCTCAAGACTAACTTGAGTTAGTCTCAAACTGTAACTCCACTACACATAAGGGGCATAACTGGCAAACCCCTCACAGTGTTCAAGAGAGAACTGGATAAGCACCTCCAAAGGATACCTGATCAACCAGGCTGTGACTCATACGTCAGGCTGCGAGCAGCCGCGTCTAACAGCCTGAGTCAAACTAGACGAGTGCCCTGAGTCAAGTGTGTGAAGCTAGACGAATGCCCTGAGTCAGGTGTGTGGTGCTGGCTGGAGCGTCAGCCCTCACGGCCAGTAATGCAGTTAGTGTGACGACGGCCACACTCCGAGGTAATTACAATGCCACCAGTAGTTACAGAGAAGACCTGCAGTAGTTTGACTGTCGTCACCCAAGGGCGTGTGAAGACTGAGACGGGCCACACGAGAGGGGCGAGAGATGTCCACTTTAAATTGTGTTTTATATTTGTCAGATTTTATCACTAAAAATCAATGTCTTCTTCTTCTTGTGGCTCTGAGAGACCTGACGTTTACCAATACGTCTCGTTAGTGTCTCAGCCGCCACGCCTCAAATAACAAAACATCACCAAATGAAGAAACTGCAGTTTTTATGTGAGAATAAAAATAGAATCTCATTAATTTTTATTTGTGTGTAAAGGATGGAGTGTGTGTGTGTGTGTGTGTGTGTGTGTGTGTGTGTGTGTGTGTGTGTGTGTGTGTGTGTGTGTGTGTGTGTGTGTGTGTGTGTGTGTGTGTGTGTGTGTGTGTGTGTGTGTGTGTGTGTGTGTGTGTGTATGAGTGGGTGTGTGTGTGTGTGTGTATTCGCCTGGTTGTGCTTGCGGGAGTTGAACTCTGCTCTTTCGGTCCGCCTCTCAACTGTCAATCAATCAACTTTTTTTTTTCTCCACACACACACCCAGGAAGCAGCCCGTGACAGCTGTCAAACTCCCAGGTGCCTATTTACTGCTAGGTAACAGTGTGTGTATATATGTATACTCACCTACTTGTTCTCACCTAGTTGTGCTTGCGGGGATTGAGCTCTAGCTCTTTGGTCCCGCCTCTCAACTGTCAATCAACTAACAGGTGTACGTGTTCCTAAGAATATTAGGCTCTATCATATCTACATTTGAAACTGTGTATGGAGTCAGCCTCCACCACATCACTTCCTAGCGCATTCCACCTGTTAACTACTCTGACATTGAAAAAGTTCTTTCTAACGTCCCTGTGGCACATATGGGTACTCAGTTTCCACCTGTGTCCCCTTGTTCGCGTACCACCCGTATTAAACAGTTTATCTTTACCCTGTCAATTCCTCTGGGAATTTTGTAGGTAGTGATCATGTCTCCCACCGCTTCCCACCCACCGTGTATGTGTGTGTGCAATTACCAGTGTTGGTAAATGTGTGTGTGTAGTTTTACCCACATAAGTGTTGGCTTATGAGCATCACAAGCATACAAATTGTGCGCTTGTGATGCTAAGTTGACTTGAGGATGACGTAATAACTTACATTTACCTGTCGCCTGGTACTGCAGGTGACGCCTCATTACCCATGAGTCAGTGTGGGTGGTTGTGGGGCTGGTCTCCTCACAGCGTCTGTGTGGCCAGTGGTGGTGGCGTCTCTCCCTCTCCTCAGGTTAGCTCAGGATTAGTTAGGTTAGCTTCTTATTACTAGGATAAGAATTAATCAGGTTCGTCAAGGTTTATTAAAGCGTTGGCCTACGGCGTTCTCTCACCCTTACAACAGAACACAAGATCCTCTTGTCTAAACCTCACATTGTGTGTGCCTGTCCACATTGGGACAAAGTATAACTGGAATGGAACTAAACTTAGAGTGACGTTCCCCGTGTGATCCGAGAAAGATAACATAGTTCCCCATGACACAATCTTCTGTTTTCTGTGTAAAGTCAAAACAGAAAATCGATTTCAGAGACCCTTCGTTCCTGGAGGACCCCTGGGGCCCAGGAACGTTTCTGGAGGACCCCGGGGGCCCTAGGAACGTTCCTGGAGGACCCCTGGGGGCCCAGGAACGTTCCTGGAGGACCCCTGAAGCCCAGGAACGTTACATTCATACAGGCTTTGGTTACATTTATTACACAGTTTACAAGCATGAAAATTTTCCATTCAACAGTTGTTATTGTTGTAAACAGCCTCCTGGTGCTTCGGAGCTCATTAACTGTTTAATAATTGTAAACAAAGCCGCCAAAGATTGAGAAAAGATGTACAGGTTCGTAAGTGCTTGCGTAACTGCTTCGTGAATCCCTGGCGCTAAGTACGGGGCAGGGTTGGATTAATGGATTAACGGGTGGTTGGATTAACAAGCTTGGATCTTTATATGCGCGGACGGGCTGGTGTCCGAAGCTTCATATATAGGTCCGAAGATTCGAACGAAGGTCCGGAGTTTCCTCTGGTACTACCTGAGAAACGAAGCCCGTTAGGCACTTGAGGTGCTCCTAGTAACGCACACACCGTCCTCATAAACGGCCAAAGTTTATTCCATCCAGCCGCCAAACCCCCCCTTGTTTATGAATGAAAAACGGTTTACACGCGACTTACAACTGATGACGTTCGAACAAGTGCTTCACTGACGACTTTTGTTCGAACCACAACGCTACAAATGCTTCACCCACGTACTACAAATACAAAATAATCGTCAACAGAACCCAAACACCTAACCTAACCTAACCTAACCTAACCTAACCTAACCTAACCAAACACCTAACCTAACCAGTGCCTAAATATGCACAATATGGTAATATATAATTACATTAATTTATATTTGAGAAAATTCCTATTTTGAATAAACAGCTCATGTTAACATTGATGAGTGCGTCTTTGGGGGTCGACCGCTAGAGGGAATAGACTTGGGGTCTGAGAACGGGTTGCGCGCGCATTATCCCCCGAACACATCTGGTGTAGAATGTTGAATGAGGTTTGAGTGCGCTTTCTAACAAGACGACTCAACATATTGTGGTGACCATTAGACAGTGACTAAGCAACTAGCGCAGTGCCTGCGTCCTGGTGGCGTGATGCCTCGAGGATTGGACTGTCCAAGCAGGTGTCGCAGGTAAATGACTACGTGATTGTTTGTGTGGGTTAGTCT